GTTTACTTGAGAATCCATTGAAGCAAAACCGGAACGACACCTGCAGAGAGTCCAGGTCCTGCAGGTGGCGAGGCCGCGCTGCTCGTCATACAGTAATCCTGACAGAGAGCGTGGGCGCCGACCTGCTGGGAGTTCCCAGAGGAAACGGTGAGCAGGAGCTCTGGAGGAAAGGAGACGATAGCGCCTCTGTTTGAGTCGTCCTTCTGTCCTCAAAGCGTTTGTGGTTCATTCTCACTGGGCATAACTGTGTGACCTCATCACTAATGGTAGTGGACACGGCGCCGCTCCGATGTCCACCTCGCTGAGCTTCCTCCTGCTGCAGCACAAATATCAAAGCTGTGAATTCGTCCCAACTGTCAGAGCGTTTTCAGACCTTGCAGCAGATGAAGGTCACACGCCGAGTCCACAGCCGGGCTGAGAAAGGTCACGTTGTCCTCACGCTCGCCGCCTCCACCGCCAAGGCCGCCCAGCCGACAGGAAGTGATCGGCTGTCACAGTCAGAGAGAAACAAAACCGTGTTTCATGTTCATTCCTCCTGAATTCTTCTCGCCACAGCTGTTGGAACGCCACCGCCCTCCGTCTGGATCGCTTCCTGTCAGGACGTGGAAATATTTCTCTGTACAAATGCAGCGAATCGATCAGCTGATCACTGAAGCTACGAATCCATCCAGCTGTTTGGCTTCATGCTGACTGAAGAAGAGGAGGACGATGAAGGTCACCTCTGTCCTCACGAGGAAACTGGAACCACAGACAAAGTAGCATCATCATCAGCGTCATCACTGAGCGCGTGCAAAGCCCCTCCCCCCGCTCTCTGATATAAAGCAGAAACAGCTCGAGTGTGTTTGACTGAAGAGACGCCGCAGAGACGCAAACGCACGTCAGGTAAGAAGATCCCTCGTCACGCCACAGACGCAGGAAACCCAAGTCTTTCCTCCGATAATTGGAATTCTTATTTCTGTGCTTTGTCCTCGACTTCCTGTCCGAGTGACCGCGGTTTGTGATCCGTCTGCAGACCTCTTCGTTTCCAGCCTCGTGCGTGCACGCCTCTGTCTTTATTCACCGCCTCTGTCTTTATTCACCTGTGACCGCTAAGGCCCGCAGACTGCAGACGGACAGGCGAAGCTCGGAGACCTCGGTCGGCGTGGAGTCTGCTTCCTGTTGTCCTTTCAGTCTAGCAGCACTGAGATTCGGCTTCGTGTTTATCAGAGGTTCAAGGCTGGACTTTCCACGGTTAGAGTCGTGTGTCTGTGAAGGTTCTCGGTCCTCCAGGTCATCGTCGTCTACGGAGCTTGCAAAGAAAAGCGTCTGGACTTCTTTGAGTTGCTTGAAGACGTTTCACCTCGAGAAGCTTCTTCAGTTCTAAGGTCAAATGGTGGAGAGTCCCAGATTTAAGTCTGGTAACGCCCACTCACATCCTGGGCCATCTGACCTCAGGGAATCACATGAGGGTGGGGCCAGGTTTCACAATGAGCTCACCTGAAACCCTGATTGTGACCCACACCTGCTTTCATGCTTAAATAATTTAAAGAAGTCCAGACGCTTTTCTTTCTGAGCTCCTTAGACCTCGGGCGTGGCTCAGCCGTTCAGACCTCGGCACAGTGAAACAAACATCCTGCAGTTCAACTGTGTGTGTTTGAGGAACACCGGCTGAGGGTCTGCCTGATGTCCAGATATCCAGTTAGCATCCACGACAGGTTAGAGCAGAGCAACTCCAGGCCTCGAGGGCCGGCGTCCTGCAGGTTTGAGATCTCACCTTGGGTCAACACACCTGAATCACATGATCAGTTCGTTACCAGGCCTCTGGAGAACTTCAGGACATGTTGAGGAGCTAATTTAGTATTTAAATCAGCTGTGTTGGTTCAAGGACACGTCTAAAACCTGCAGGGACACTCGAGGCCTGGAGTTGCCCACCCCGGGTTAGATTCAGTTCAACAGAACTTACATTACAAACAGGAAAACAGCTGTACTGAAGGTGTGTGAATGAGCGTGCTCTCTCCTCTTCCTCCTGCAGACTGCCCTCTGAGATGAAGCTGAATGTGTTGCTGTGGCTCGCGGCTCTGCTCGGCGCTGTCCTCCCTCGCTCTGCTGACGCCCAGCCGGCCGCCGCTCCTGCTGACCGCCGCCTCTTTCCCCGACCGCTGCTCCTCCACCTGGGGCAAGAGCTCTCCCTCAGGATGGGTGGAGGAAGCGCTGCTCCCGAGCTCCTCTCCTCCTCTTCCTCAGCGGTGAAATGGGCTCTGCTGCAGCTCACACAGCGCCTCTTACAGGCCCGGGCGGAGCAGCCGGACGAGGA